GCTCACCCCCCTGAGCACTGCAACACTCACAGCTGCCACATGGTACTGGCAACACTCACAGCTGCACCTGAGTACTGGCAACTCTCACAGCTACCAATTGAGTATGGCTACACTCACAGCTGCCACCTGAGTCTGGCAACACTCACAGCTACACCTGAGCACTGCAACACTACAGTACACTGAGTACTGTATACACTCACAGCAACACCTGAGCCCATTGACAACACTCACAGCTACACTGGTACTAAAATATAAAAATAAAAAATGGCAACAATCACAGCTACACCTGAGCAGCTGACAACACTCACAGCTACACCTGAGCAGTGACAACACTCACAGCTACACCTGAGTACTGACAACACTCACAGCTACACCTGAGTACTGACAACACTCACAGCTACAACTGAGTACTGGCAACACTCACCCCCCCCCACCAAAAAAAAAGGCTGCACCTGAGCAGTGAAGAACACTCACAAACTAAACCTGAGTACTGGACAACACTCACTGATACCACCTGCGTACTGGCAAAACTCACAGCTCACTGAGCAATGAGAACACTCACAGCTTAAAAATGGAGTACTGGCAACCTCACAGCTGCTCTGAGTACTGGGGCAACACTCACAGCTACAAACTGAGTACTGGACAACAATCACAGCTACACCGGAGTCTGACACTCTCACAGCTACAACTGAGTAACTGGCAACCACTCACAAGCTACTCCTGAGCAGTGAGAACAACTTCGAAGTCCTGGCTACACCTGAGTATGGCAACACTCTAAGCTACACTGAGCAGTGAGAACACTCAACAGTACCACCTGAGTACTGGTACACTCACAGCTACACCTGAGTACTGGCAACACTCACAGCTACACCTGAATACTGGCAAACACTCACAGCTACACCGGAGTTACTGACAACACTCACTGATACACCTGAGTTACTGGCAACACTCAACAGTACACCTGAGCAAGTGAGAACACTCACAGCTACACCTGACGTACTGGCAAACATCACAGCTACACCTGAGCACTGACAACACTCAACTGATGCACCTGAGCTACTGGCAACACTACACAGCTGAAACTGAGTAATGGCACACTCTCAGCTGCACACTGAGTACTGATAACACTCACAGCCTGCGCCCGGAGTACTGGCAACACTCACAGCTTGCACCTGAGTATCTGGCAACAATCACAGCTGCCACTGGAGTAATGGCAAACACTAACAGGTACTCCTGAGTACTGGCAACACTCACAGAACTGCACATGAGTACTGGCAACACTCACAGGCTGCCACCTGAAGTACTGGAAAACACTCACAGCTGCCACCTGAGTAAATGGCATACTCACAGCTACACTGATTCTTGCACACTCACAGCGCACCTGAGTACTGCAACCACTCAAGCTGCACCTGTGTATGGACAAACACTCACAGCTGCACATGTGTACTGGCAACACTCACAGCTGCACCTGTGCAGTGACAACACTCACTGCTACACCTGAGTACTGGCAACTCACCTCACAGCTTCACTGAGCAAGTGACAACACTAACAGCTACACTTGAGTACTGGCAACATCTCAGATTCACCTGAGTACTGGCAACACTACAGCTCACCTGAGCTATGACAACACTCACAGCTACACCTGAGTACTGGCAAACACTCACATGCTTTCAACTGAGTACTGGCAACACTCACAGCTTCACCTCGAGCATGACAAACACTCCGGCTTCACATGAGTACTGACACACTCACAGCTACAAACCTGGCCAACTGACAACACCACAGCTACACCTGAGCACTGACAACACTCACAGCTACAACTGAGTACTGGCAACACTCACAGCTTCACCAGGGTACTTGCAACAATCCAGCTACACCTGAGTACTGACAAAACACTCAACTGCTACACCTGTCACTGAATCTCTCACAGCTACACCTGAGCACTGACAAAACTCTCAAAGCTACACCTGAGCTTGACAACCACTCTCAGCTTCACCTGAGCTCTGACATACAACTCACAAGCTACACCTGAGCACTGAAAAACACTCACAGCTACACCTGAGCAGTGAAAACACTCCACAGCTTCACCTGAGCTACTGACAACACTCACAGCTACACCTGAGCACTGACAACACTCACAGCTACACCTGAGCACTGACAACACTCACAGCTACACCTGAGCACTGACAACACTCACAGCTACACCTGAGCACTGACAACACTCACAGCTTCACCTGAGTACTGACAACACTCACAGCTACACCTGAGCACTGACTACACTCACAGCTATCACCTTGTGCCATGACAACACTCACAGCTACCACCTGAGACAGTGACAACACTCACAGCTCACCCTGAGCTGACAACACTCACTGCTACACACTGAGCTCTGACAAACACTCACAGCTAACCTGAGCAGTGACAACACTCACAGCTACACCTGAGCACTGACAACACTCACAGCTTCACCTGAGTACTGACAACACTCACAGCTACGCTGAGTACTGGCAAACACTGACAGTAACCATCTGAGCACTGACAACACTCACATCTACACCTGAATACTGACAACACTCACAGTACGACTGAGTCACTGGAACAATCACAGCTTCACCTGAGTACTGGCAACATCACAGCTTCACCTGAGTACTGGAACACTCCCACCACAGATTACTTGAGAAAAACTGCAACACTCACAGCTATACACTGAGTACTGGCAACACTCACAGCTACGATGAGTTCTGGCAACAATCACAGCTTCACTGAGTACTGGCAACATCACTGCTTCACTTGAGCATCTGACAACACTCACAGCTACACCTGAGTACTGACAACACTCACAGCTACACCTGAGCACTGACAACACTCACAGCTACACCTGAGTACTGACAACACTCACAGCTACACCTGAGTACCGCCACCACCCACAGCTGCACCTGAGCACTGACAACACTCACAGCTACAACTGAGTACTGGCAACAATCACAGCTTCACCTGAGTACTGACAACTCTACAGACACACTGAGTACTGACAACACTCACATGCTACACCTGAGTAACTGACAACACTCATAGCTACAACTGAGCACTGACAACACTCACAGACTACACTTGAGTACTGACAACACTCACATTACAAACTGAGTACCGCCACAGAACAAGCTTGCACCTGTGCACTGGACAACACTCATAGCTACACCTGATTACTAGCAACACTCACAGCTTCACTGAGTACTGGCAACACTCACAGCTACAATTGAGTACTGACAACACTCACATCTACACCTGAGTACCGCCACCACGAACAGCTGCACCTGAGCACTGACAACACTCATAGCTACACCTGAGTACTGCACACTCACAGCTACACTCTGAGCATGGGACAACACTCACAGCTACAACTGAGTACTGGCCAAACACTACACAGCTACACCTGAGTTACTGACAACACTCACAGCTACACCCTGAGCACTGGCACACTCACAGCTACAAACTGAGTACTGACAACACTCAACAGCTAACACCTGTGTACTGAAAACACTCACAGCTACACTGAGCACTGAAAAACTCACAGCTACACTAGGTAATGACTAACACTCACAGCTACACCTGGTAATGACAACACTCCAGCTACACCTGAGCACTGGCACACTCCAGCTACACCTGAGCACTGACAACAATCCCAGCTACACTTGAGCACTGACAATCACTCCAGCTTCACCTGAGCAGTGAGAACATCTCACAGCTTCAACCTGACGTACTGGAACACTCACAGCTACACCTGAGTACTGGCAACACTCACAGCTTCACCTGAGCACTGACAACACTCACAGCTACACCTGAGTACTGACAACACTCACAGCTACACCTGGAGTACTGACTATACACTCTCAGCTACACCTGAGCATGACAAATCTCACAGCTACACCTGAGCTCTGACAAACACTCACAGCTACACCTGAAAGTATGACAAAAACTCACAGTTCAACCTGAGCACTGGCAACACTCACAGCTACACCTGAGCACTGACAACACTCACAGCTACACCTGAGCACTGACAACACTCACAGCTTCACCTGAGCAGTGAGAACACTCACAGCTACACCTGAGTACTGGCAACACTCACAGCTACACCTGAGTACTGACAACACTCACAGCTTCACCTGAGCACTGGCAACACTCACAGCTACACCTTGAGTACTGAAAACACTCATCTGCTAACACTGGCAGTGAGAACATCACAGTACACCTGAGTACTGCACAAAATCACAGCTACACCTGGTACTGGCTACATCACAGCTTCACATGAGCAGTGTGAAACACTCACAACTACCACCTGAGGCAGTGAGAACACTCAAGCTACACCTGAGTAATGAACACACTCACAGCTACAACTGAGTGACTGACAAACACTCTCAGCTTACACCTGAGCACTGGCAACATCACAGCTTCACCTGAGCAGTGAGAACCACAGTACACCTGGCACTGGCAAAACTCACAGCTTCACCTGAGTTATGACAACACTCACAGGCTTCACCTGAGCAGTGACACACTCTCAGCTGCACCTGAGGGGGGTGGGGTACTGACAACACTCACAGCTGCAACTGAGTTACTTGACCAACACTCACCAGCGCAACTGAGTACTGACAAACACTCACAGCTGCTCCTGAGTACTGACATCACTCACAGATAAACCTGAGCACTGGCAAACTACAGCTTCACCTGGTACTGTAACTACTCACCAGCTTCATCTCGCATGTCAAACAATCACAGCATTCACCGGCATTGACAACACTCTCAGCTCACCTGGTATGACAACAATAACAGCCTACAACTGAGCACTGGCAACACTCACAGCTGCACCTGAGTACTGCAACACTCTACAGCTTCTCCTGAGCAGTGACTACACTCACAGCTGCACCTGAGCAGTGACAACACTCACAGCTGCACCTGAGTACTGACAACACTCACAGCTACACCTGAGTACTGACAACACTCACCAGATTCAACCTGAGTACTGACACACTCACAGTCTTCACCTGAGCAATGGACAACACTCTCAGCTACCACCTGAGCAGTGGACACACTCACAGCTTTACACCTGCAGTAATGGACAAACACTCACAGCTTCACCTGAGTACTGACAACACTCACAGCTACACCTGAGCAGTGACAACACTCACAGCTGCACCTGAGTACTGACAACACTCCACAGCTTCACTGAGTACTGACAACAATCACAGCTACACCTGCAGCAGAGAAAATGACTACACCACAGCTACACCTGAGTTACTGACAACCTCACAGCCTTCACCTGAGTACTGGACAACTCTCACAGCTACACCTGAGCAGTGGACAAACACCACAGTACACCTGCAGCAGTGACAAACACTCACAGCATCACCTGAGTACTGACAACCACTCACAGCTACACCTGAGCAGGTGAAACACTCACAGCTACACCTGAGTACTGGACAACATCACAGCTACACTGAGCAGTGACAACATCACAGCTACACCTGAGTACTGACAAAGCACTCACAGCTTCACACTTGAGTACGACAACACTCAAAAAGAGCTACACCTGTGCACTGCTCAACACTCCACAGCTACACCTGAGTTATGACAAAACACTCACAGCTACACACTGAGTACGGACAACACTCACTGGCTACAAATGAGTTACTGGACAACAACTCACAGCTACACCTGGAGTACTGACAACACTCACAGTACAACCTGGAGTACTGACAAACACTCACAGCTACACTGAGTACTGACAACACTCACAGCTACACCTGAGTACTGTACAAACTCACAGGTTCACCTGAGTACTGACAACACTCCAGCTAACCTGAGTACTGACAACACTAACAGCTACACCTGAGTACTGGACAAACACTCACAGCTACACCAGTGCCTGGACAACACTCTCAGCTTCACCTGAGTACTGACATCACTACAGCTACACTGAGAACTGACAACACTAACAGCTACCACCTGAGTACTGACAACACTCACAGCGTCACCTGAGTCTGACAACCTCTCAGCTACAAACTGAGCACACTGACAACACTCACACACTTCACCTGAGTACTGACAACACTCACAGCTTCACCTGAGTACTGACAACACTCACAGCTACACCTGAGTACTGACAACACTCACAGCTTCACCTGAGTACTGACAACACTCACAGCTACACCTGAGTACTGACAACACTCACAGCTACACCTGAGTACTGACAACACTCACAGCTTCAACCTGAGTACTGGCAACACTACACGCTTCACCTGAGTAACTGACAACACTCACAGGCTACACCTGAGTACTGCAACACTCCAGCTACACCTGAGTACTGACAACAATCACAGCTACTCCTGAGTACTGACAACACTAACAGCTACCATCCTGAGTCTGACAACACTCACAGCTACACTGAGTTCTGACAACACTCACAGTACACCTGAGATCTGACAATCACTCACAAGCTACACCTGAGCACTGACCCACACTCACAGCTTCACCTGAGTACTGACAACACTCCAACTGCCTACACCTGAGCTCTGACAACTATCACAGCTTATCCTGAGTACTGACAACACTCTCAGCTTCACTGAGTCTGACAACACTCACTGCTACAATGAGTACTGACAACACTCACAGCTACTCCTGAGTACTGACTACACTCACAGCTACAACTGTGTACTGACAACACTCACTGTACACCTGAGTACTGACAACAATACAGCTTCATACTGAGTAATGACAACACTCACGCTACAACGCAGTACTGACCAAACACTCTAGCTACACCTGAGTACTGACAAACACCACAGCTACACCTGAGTACTGGACAACAACTCACCGCTACTCCTGAGTACTGACAAACTCACAGCAACATGAGTACTGGACTACACTCACAGCTACACTGAGTACTGACAACCACTCAAGCCTCACTGAGTACTGAAACACTCACAGACTTTTTTTTTTATGTTTTTTTTTTCTTTTTGTTCTTTTTTCTTTTCACCTGTGTTACTGACAACACTCAAGCTTCACCTGAGTACTGGACACACTCACAGCTTAACCTGGTACTGACAACACTCACAGCTTCACCTGAGCACTGACACCCACTCACAGCTTCTACTGTGTACCCTGACAACACTCACAGCTTCACCCTGAGTCTACTGACAACACTCACTGCTTCTCACTGAGTACTGACAACACTTACAGCTTCACCTGAGTACTGTAAACCACTCACAGCTTCACCTGTAGTAATGACAACACTCACAGCTCACTGAGCTACTGACAACATCCAGCTACACCTGAGTACTGACAACACTCACAGCTTCACCTGAGTACTGACAACACTCACAGCTTCACCTGAGTACTGACAACACTCACAGCTTCACCTGAGTACTGACAACACTCACAGCTTCACCTGAGTACTGACAACACTCACAGCTTCACCTGAGTACTGACAACACTCACAGCTACACCTGAGCAGTGACAACACTCACAGCTACACCTGAGTACTGACAAACCCACTCAACAGCTTCACCAAGTACTGACAACACTCACAGTACACTTGAGTACTGCAACACTCACAGATACACCTGAGTACTGGCTAACACTCACTGCTACACCTGAGCACTGACAACACTCACAGCTACCACCCTGAGCACTGACAAACACTCCACAGCTTCTCCTGAGCAGTGCAACACTCACAGCTTCACCCAAGTACTGTCAACACTCACAGCTACACCTGAGGAGTCAACCACTCTCAGCTACACCTGAGTACTGTGCACACTCCACAGCTACACCTGGAGCACTGACAAACACGCACAGCTACACTGAGCACTGACAACACTCCACAGCTACACTGAGCATGACAACAATCACAGCTACACATGAGCACTGGACAACAACTCACAGTACACCTGAGCACTGACTACCAATACTGCTACACTGAGCACTGACCCAAAACACTCACAAGCTACACCTGTAGCACACTGTCAACAACACAGCTCACTGAGCATGACACACTCACAGCTACTACCTGAGCACTGACAACACTCACGCTTCACCGAGCACTGGACAACACTCACAGCTTCACCTGAGCACTGACAACACTCACAGCTTCACCTGAGCAGTGACAACACTCACAGCTACACCCAAGTACTGACAACACTCACAGCTACACCTGGAGTAACTGTAACTAACATCAACTGCTACACCTGAGTACTGGCAACACTTCACAGCTACTCCTGGAGCAAGTGATCAACAATCAACAGCTTCACTGTGCTCTGACTACACTCTACAGCTTAATTGAGCAGTGACTCACTCACTGCTTACACTGTCCGTACTGGCAACACTCACAGCTTTTACCACATGAGACAGTTGACACACCACTCACAGCTACACATGAGCACTGACACAACACTCACAGCTACACTTGAGAACTGACAACACTCACAAGCTACTCCTGGACTGACAACACTCACAGCTACACCTGAGACACTGACAACACTCACAGCTTCAATGAGCACTGACAACATCACAGTTCACTGAGCAGTGAAAACACTCAACAGCTTCACCTGAGCAGTTGGACAAAACTCAATAGCTTCACCTGTGCAGTGACAACACTCACAGCTACACCTGCAGCACTGACAACACTCACAGGCTTTCACATGAGCACTGACAACACTCACAGTTCACCTGTGCACTGGGACACATCAATAACAGCTTCACCTGAGCTCTGACAAACCTCACAGCTTCACCTGAGCAGTGTCAAACACTCACGCTACACCAAGTACTGACAACACTCACAGCTACACCTGAGTACTGACAACACTCACAGCTACACCTGAGTACTGGCAACACTCACAGCTACACCTGAGCACTGACAACACTCACAGCTACACCTGAGCACTGACAACACTTACCGCTTAACCTGAGTACTGACAACACTCACAGCTACATCTGAGTACTGGCAACACTCACAGCTTCACCTGAGCAGTGACAACACTCACAGCTACACCTGAGTATTGGCAACACTCACAGCTTCACCTGAGTACTGACAACTCTCACAGCTACACCTGAGTACTGACAACACTCCCAGCTACACCTGAGTACGGACAAACACATCATAGCTACACCTGAGCACTGACAACTCTCACAGTTACACTGAGTACTGGAAACCACTCACAGCTACACCTGAGTACTGACCAACACTCACAACTACAACTGTGCACTGTCTAAACACTCGCAGCTACATTGAGCAACTGACAACACTCACTGCTACAACTGAGTTTACTGGCAACACTCCCAGCTTCACCTGAGTATTGGCAAACACTCACAGCTTCACTGATTAATGGCCAACACTCACAGCTGCAACCTGAGTACTGACAACATCTCACAACTACCACTGACGCCACTGACAACACTCACAGCTACATGGAGCACTGACAACAATCACAACTACACCTGGCCTGACAACACTCACAGCTACAACTGTGTAATGGCAACACTACAGCTGCACCTGAGTACTGGCAAACACTCACAGCTACACTGTGTAATGATCAACACTCACAAACTACAACTGAGCACTGACAACACTCACAGCTCAACACCCCCTAGCTGGACAAACACCACAGCTGCACCTGAGCATTGACACACTCACAGCTTCACTGAGTACATGGCACAACTCACAGCTACACATGAGTACTGACTACACTCTCAGCTTTACACCCCTGAGTTACTGGCAATACACTCACAGCTACAACATGGAGTCCGCACCCCACCCACAGCTGCACTGAGTACTGGCATCACTCACAGCTGTCACATGTAGTACTCAGGCAACTCTAACAGCTTCAACCTGAGTACTGACAACACTCACAAGCTACACCTGAGTACTGGCAACACTCCACAGCTACAACCTGAGTATCCGCCACCACACCACAGCTGCTCCTGAGTATGGCAACACTCACAGCTACACCTGAGTACTGGCAATACACTCACAGCTACTCTGAGTTATCGGAACACACTCACAGCTACACTGAGTACTGGCAACACTCACAGATACAACTGAGTACCGCCACCACCACAGCTGCCACCTGAGTACTGGCACACTCACAAGCTACACCTGAGTAATGGCAACACTCACAGCTACACCTGAGTACCGACCACACCCACAGCTGCACCTAGAGTACTGGCAAACATCACAGCTGCACTGCGTACTGGCAAACTCTCACGCTACACCTGAGTAACCGCCACCACCCACAGCTGCACTGAGTACTGGCAACTCTCACAGCTGCACCTGAGTACTGGAACCTCACAGCTACACCTGAATACTGACAACACTCACAGCTACAACTGAGCACTGACAACACTCACAGCTACACCTGAGTACTGACAACACTCACAGCTACAACTGAGCACTGACAACACTCACAGCTACACCTGAGTACTGACAACATCAACTCAGCTACACATGTGTTCTGGGACAACACTCACAGCTTACAACCTGTGTACTGAGCCAACACTCACAGCTACAACCTGAGTACTGTCAACACTCACAGCTACACCTTGAGTACTGACAACTCTCACAGCTACAACTTGAGCACTGACATCACTCACAGCTACACCTGAGTTATGACAACACACACAGCTACACCTGAGTATGAAACTCACTCAAAGCTACACCTGTGTACTGACGACTCTCACTGCTACAACTGAGCATGACACATCACAGCTACACCTGATTACTGACAACACTCACAGATACACCTGTAGTACTGGACAAACATCACAGCTACAACGAGCACTGGACACACCTCACTGCTACACCTGAGTTACTGACACACTCACAGCTACAACTGAGCCACTGACAACACTCACAGCTGCACCTGAGTACTGCCAACACTCTACTGCTACACGGAGTACTGACAACACTCACAGCTACAACTGAGCACTGACAACCCACTCACAGTACAACTGGTACTGGCAACACTCACTGCTGAACCTGAGTATTGGCAAACTCTCACAGCTTCGCCTGAGTACTGACACACTCACCAGCTACACCTGAGCCTGACAAACACTCACAGCTTCACCTGAGTACTGTCACACTCCACAGCTGGCACCTGAGTACTGGCAACACTCACAAGCTGCACCTGAGTAATGGCAACACTCACAGCTGCACCTGATACTGGCACACTCCCAGCTGCACCTGAGTACGGCAAACACTCTCAGCTTGCAACCTGATTACTGGCAACACTCACAGCTGCCCACCTGAGTACTGCAACAACTCACAGCTGCAACCTGAGTAACTGGCAACACTCACAGCTCGCACATGAGTAAATGGCAACACTCACAGCTGCACCTGAGTACTGGCATCACTCACAGCTACCCTGAGTACTGGCAAACACTCACAGCTGCACCTGAGTACTGGCAAACATCACAGCTCGCACCTGAGTACTGGCACTCTACAGCTCGCACCATGTGTACTGGGGGGGGACAACACTCTCAGCTACACCTGAGTAATGGCAACACTCACAGTCTGCACCTGAGTACTGGCAACACTCCACAGCTACAACCTGAGTACTGGCAACACACTCAAGCTGCACCTGAGTACTGGCAACACTCCAGCTGCACCTGAGTACTGGCAAACACTCACAGCTGCACACAACAAACTGAGTACCTCGGCAACACTCACAAGCTAAATGATTATGGCAACAGTCACAAACTGCACCTGAGTAATTGGCAACACTCACAGCTACACCTGAGTACTGGCAACAGTCACAGCTGCACCTGAGTACTGGCAACACTCACAGCTACACCTGAGTACTGGCAACACTCACAGCTGCACCTGAGTACTGGCAACACTCACAGCTGCACCTGAGTACTGGTAACACTCACAGCTGCACCTGAGTACTGGCAACACTCACAGCTGCACCTGAGTACTGGCAAACTCACAGCTGGAACAAATGTTACAAATACGTTGTTTTAAAACCAACTTCTTCGTATTTTCATCCTCTCTCCTACTCCGTGAATCAAAGACACAATACTGACATCCGGGCAATGTGTTTCGTCTGAGAAAGAACAAAAGGTCACATTAACGTGGACGGAAAACAATACACAAATACCCGGGACACAGGAGAGAGAGAGGAGCTTATGACGACAGTTTGGTCCGTATTGGACCCAAATAGTCCAAGACGGACCGAAACGTCGTAAGTTTACGTCTCCTATGTGCTGGTTATTTGCGCTGAAGTTCTCTCAAATAGATCACGACGACCAGGAGGAGACTGCTGTGAATCTAACGAAGCTTAACCATCAGGGGCCAGTAATCACGTGAGGGCCCCAGAAGCCACTTTCAGTCCACATTGTTTAAAATTTTATAGATCTTCTGTATGAGGTTTTTTTTAAATAATAATAATAACAGAGTGTACTTCAGTACAAAACAAATAGTTATAAACAAAAGTCAAAAGTTTTAATGAAGTATATATAGGGTCCTAGCCGTTGCTGGCTGCCAAGGGGCCCAGAAATGTACGTTCGTCCAAGGACTATGGAACCCGCTCAGAGCACTGGGATCTAGTGCCAGACCTTTGACAGTGATTCGGCACTTTTATCATGACCCTGGTGTGCCACACGCTCCCCACGAAATCATTACTAGACTAATTGCTTAATGCGAATCTTTATGCACTCAGTTGTGGTTGCTGAGACAGCCACACCTCCCCTACCACCATCACTCAGTTGTGGTTGCTGAGACAGCCACACCTCCCCTACCACCATCACTCAGTTGTGGTTGCTGAGACAGCCACACCTCCCCTACCACCATCACTCAGTTGTGGTTGCTGAGACAGCCACACCTCCCCTACCACCATCACTCAGTTGTGGTTGCTGAGACAGCACACCTCCCCTACCACCCACTCAGTTGTGTTGCTGAGACAGCCACATCACTCCCTACCACCATCACTCAGTTGTGGTTGCCTGAGACAGCCACACCTCCCCTACCACCATCCTTCACTCAGTTTGTGGTTGCTGAGACAGCCACATACTCCCCTCCCACCATCACTCAGTTGTGGTTGCAGAGACAGCACCCTCCCTACCAACCATCGCTCAGTTGTGTTGCTGAGACCAGCACATCTGCCCTACCACCATCACCAGTTGTGGTTGCTGAGACAGCCACACCTATCCCCTACCACCATCACTCATTTTTGTGGTTGCTGAGACAGCCACATCCTCCCCTACTCACCATCACTCATTGTGGTTGCTGAGTACAGCTACATCTTCCCCTACCACCATTCAGCTCAGTTGTGTTGCTGAGACAGCTACATCCCCCTACCTCGATCATCAATTGTGGTTGCTGAGACAGCTACATCTCCCCTACCACCATCACTCAGTTGTGGTTGCTGAGACAGCTACATCTCCCCTACCACCATCATCCAGTTGTGGTTGCTGGGATAGAAATATCACCACTGGCCGGGCACCGAGAGTAGTAAGACTCGAAACTCATCAAAAGTATTTACCACCATCTGTTAGTTGTGTTTATTAGGGTAGCCTCATCATTTAGCTGCGGTTGCTAGGATAACCAGCCATTAATACACATATATATAAGAACAAATACGCATGCACACAGGCATGCACCACATGCACACGATATATATATGTCGTGCCGAATGGGCAAAACTGGTCAATTAGCAAGAACTCATTTGAAATTAAGTCTTTTCTAAAATTTTCTCTTGTACGTTTAAAGATATATTTTTTTCATTTATGTTAATGTAGAAATTAATCATTTTGTACCAAAAGAGCCTAACCTTATTATAACAAGCACAATTTAATTTAGTTTAATCCAACTAAATATATTTTAGATAAGTTTACAATAATTTAGTAATAAACAAACAATGAAATATATTTTTGTCGTTAGGTTCAGAATCATTTTTGCGAAATTATTGCATATACAAATTTTCGCTTGCATTATTCGGCAAGAAGAGCGTTGCTATTTAAGCCAAAATCGAAAGTTTTACCTATTCGGCACGGCACACACACACACACACACACACACACACACACACACACACACACAGCACACACACACAACTCAACACACACACACATATATTTATAAATATTATGCAATAAGATCACAGTAAACAGGTGATTTTAAAATATGCAAAACAACCACTGTGAAAGAGTAGTGAAATTCCAAGCGCTTTCGTGACTACTCACATTGTCAAGGAACCTTGACAATGTGAGTAGTCACGAAAGCCGCTTAGGAATTTCACTACTAAATATATACACACACACACACACGACACACCCACACATATATATAATATATATATATAATATATATTATATATATATATATATATATATATATATATATTATATACAATATATAATATATATACCACATACATATATACATATATATATATATATATAAATATATATATTATATTATATATATATATATCTATATATATATATATATATAATATATATATATATACATACTACATATATATATAATTTATATATATATATATATATATATAAAATATATATATATATATATATATATATAGTATATATAATAATATTATATATTATATATTATATATATAATATATATATGAAAACGAATGCTATGCTAAATAGCCACTATGCACTAAAATGACACACGCACATCATCGTATGTACATACGTATTTAACCACTGGAAAACGGGGGAAAAAGATTATCAACGACAACCAAGCATGATTCATGGAAGGCAAATCCTGTGTCACAAACTTACTGAGTTTTATGAGAAGATAACAGAAGTAAGACACGAGAAAGAGGGGTGGGTTGATTGCTTTTCCTTCGACTTGCAATAAGGCATTCCAGTTCCCTCACAAGAGATTAGTGCAGAAGCTAGAGGATCAGACACGTATAACAGGAAGTGTTCTGCAATGCATCAGAGAATACCTAACAGGGAGGCAACAACGAGTCATGGTACGAGATGAGGTATCACAGTGGGCGCCTGTGACGAAGCAGGGTCCACAGGGTCAGTCCTAGGACCAGTCTATGTCCTGGTACATGTGAATGACATGATGGAAGGGATAGACTCAGAGGTGACCCTGTTCGCACCCCGAATACACTGTTCCCTAGCTCAAGCTCCGACTAACCCAACTGAAGTCCTCCCTTATTATCAACAAACTAAAAACAAGACAGGAGATTTAAATACCTTACCACCCTTAAAACAAAAAAGTGTCACAGGTGCTTATCACCAATCATTGCAACACTCATCAACAAATCCATTGAATCCTCTACCTTCCTACATTCTCAAAATAGCAAGGTCCACCCCGTCCATAAGGATGGGGAGACCACACAGACTTGAATAGCTATAGGCCAATATCCAACTTACACCCTCTCTCTAAAATCCTTTGAAAAATTAATCCATAAGCGTATCTATTCCTACCTCATCTCCCACAACATACTCAACCACAGTCAGTTATGGGTTCATGCCAAATAAAAATAACTTAATGATGTATTATCCAATGCTAGAACAATTGACATTGGGGTGGCGAATACGTGGGGTCAGTGCAATAGATAAAAAAAGAAGTCCCACTGGGGACAAGTAAAATCTACAATGATGTAGCAGGGCTCCGGCTGTACCAAGTGTACCGAGGGGACAGTAACATCTACAATGATGTAGCAGGGGCTCAGGCTGTTACCAGTGTACCGAGGGGACAGTAACATCTACAATGATGTAGCAGGGGCTCAGGCTGTTACCAGTGTACCGAGGGGACAGTACCTTCCACTACCCAATCAGCGCAATTCAAGAAAGGAGAAAGGTAAGGGAATAAAAGGAACAAATGAGAAAAGGGTGAGAATTTAGTTAATTATCTCACTGTTATCACCAAGGTGACGGAGGTGAGGAGGGAAGGTAACTGCAACGATGAACCTTGTACTTTGAAAATGAAAAGAATAAGAACTGTCTGAAGATTGCTAAGGCTAAGATGTAGAGAATAGTTCAAAAGTATTGAAGAAATAATGATGCAATATTCGCCAGGATCATTTCTTGGCGCTGGTCTTAACCAGGTGACGACCCATCACTGGTTCCCAATAAGATCAAGAAAGACTGTGCAACTTTCGCTGGAGGTGCCAGATCAGCCAGGCTGTGATGGATATGTGAGGCAGCGGGCCACCAGCAGAAACAGCCTGGTTAACCAGGCAAACACCAGACGAGCCTGCCTCATGGCCGGGCTCTCGGAACTCATAAAAAGTATATCAAAGGTATCAAAGGAGGGTCTCCCTTAAAAAGTGCATCCGGAGTGCCCCTAGCAGATGGGTCACACACGTACAAGTGAAGTCACTGGGTTCCAGTCAGGATCGGGTTTTTCCCCTTCCATCACACTTTCAAGAGTATGATGGTCCTTAATACTAGAAGCTTGTACCTGAAGAAGCCTACAACCACTCTAGCGAGGTGCGGGGTTCGTGATCACGAATACGAAGTGT